TCCTCCTCCCTGTCAGCTTGGAGATTAGAATTTATTTCACTCAGTTATTACTTCCTCCAGGGCAGCCTTTCTGCCTGACAGCAAAAAGGGGAATATTTGGGGTCAGCAGAAAGCATCTGGAGCCATCACAGAGGTTCTGAGGAAGGACCAAGGGAAGAGATGGCATCCACAAGCTCAGCATCCCAATTATATAAGGGGTTTTTATAATCATAGTTTGTACTTTGCTGGAGAGAAGATTGTGAGTCTGGTTCTTTTAGTTTAAAATATGCAGGGAGTGGAAAAGTAAACAGAGGGGCAGGGAGACATTGATTGCCAGATAGCACTTCCCTGGAATTTGAGATTACCAGGATGTGCCTGCAGTGTCTAATGTCCGACTGCAGGCAGGGAGAAGGCAGAGAATGACAATCTCCAAACAACAGGATTAAAGTGCTCTGTGCAGTTAGGACTCTAAAGTATTTGAATAATCCTTCCAAAGTTGAAATGGAGAAAGAAGTAATTAGATTTCTCAGAGAATCAGAGTTTCTGGCAATACCACCACGTTAGAAAGTGCTGTTGAACTTCATGAACACCCATGTTTGTGGGGAAGAGGAGAGAGGGTCAGGAATGTCTGTTTAATTATCTTAAAATGCAACTCTCCTAAAAAAAACAATCCCCAAACCATAGAATATTGATTTTATTTTTTTTATCAACTGCAAGTATAAGCCTAAACTTTCCACCCTCCCTGCTGAAATCAGTAATTTATAGTGGATGATTTCCAGGTTTAACAGACCCTGTTCCAAGGAGAAGGATGTAAAGTGGGGTCAGCTATGAGGGAAAACAGAACCAGCCCTAACCTTACCTGGCTTCTCAGATCCAGCACTGCCAAACAAATATCGAGCAAAATGACTGCTCAAAAATAATATTTTGGCAACTACAAAGTGACATTTCAACATTGTGGTTAATTATTAGACTTCTGATGAACTCTAATTTGAATGAATCATTTCTATATTTCCAATTGTTTATGAGTCAGAGGAAGAGCTGTTTACCAAGACTGTTCAAAATACTTTGTCAATTTGCACAAATGACAACAAGCCAAAACAAACACCAAGGAAAAAGGAAAATGAGAGTTTCTATGACTACAACCTTACAAATTCCACAAATTCCCCAAAACAAGTGCAGATAATGAAAACCCCATCCACTTCCATACTTATCTAATATTAAATCATGTAGCTCTAAAGATTTTTATCTGGAACGAATCAGAACAATAGAATTTTGACTGTACTAGTTTACAAAGCAAAATAAATTATCAACTGTTGGGCTGCATTGAAAGTCTAGATGTAATAAAAAGTAGCTAATTAACCCATTTATCACAAATACCAAACAGGCCAATGGTTTTTGTAATTATCAAGACAATTCAATTTTTGCTTTAGTGTGCAGGCTTGTTTGCCCAACTCAATTGGAGATCATCAAAATTACTTACAATACACTGTCTAGCAAAGCATGACAAAATTAGTCTGCTACAACCAATTAATTGAACTTAATAAAGCTTTTAAATTATTTTTGTTTATTACCACTGCTTTGGGGTTAATGATGTAGTCCTTTTTGGCTAGGAGGAATAATTAATATTTTTTTAAAAAGAAAATTAGATTTTCAGTGTGTTAAGATAGACCAACAACTCTCCCTAATGGGTAAATAGTAAATTATTTTTCAAAACCAATATTTAAACCAGTAATTTATTCCCCTAATAAAAGCTTCTGCATCCATGCAGTTGTGTGTACATACACAGACAAATTATAGACAAGAACTCATTTCTAAGGATGATTGCTGAATTACTTCTCAACAAATATGTACTAATTAAAATTAATACTCATAAATAAACCCTGTTGTCTTTTCTAATGGAGAGCAATCTGACCATCACCACGTGGCTACAGCTCTATAAAGTTTCATGCCTTCATGAAGGACTGCAGTTGATTAGCCCAGTGAAAAGGTGATGAGTGAACTCTGATAAACAATGACAATGCCATTAACGTGCAGATATTCAAATGAAGTCATGCCAGAAGTATTAATTCAAAAAAGTTCATCTGAATTATGAATTCAAAAATTTCATCCAGAAGTATTAATGCAAAGAAATTCTAATGAAATTGATCATTTCCTTTAATAGAAAAAAAATGCATTTACTGTTCATTCATGACAGAAAAAAATCCCTCTCCTCCCTACCTTCACAAAAATTTCCACCTGAAGAACTCAGAGCTTATTTTTAGAATGAGGGAGGAGCTAAGCATGGTCCCATTTGGGAATTATCAGAAGCTGTTATGAACACTTTCATACCTCTTCTGCAGAACTTCTGGAACAAGGGGTGGATGTTCCATTATTCACATGAATATTCTCTGTATTTAACAGCAGGGAACACAGGAGCAGCAGATTTTCCTTAGGAACTGGCCTGCAGAACCAGATTTATCCTCAGATTTACTCCCCATTCCAGGGGGATCCTGAGACAAACCCAAAGTTGGTGAATTTTTCAGCCTTTCTGTCTCTAATCCACACAGTTCTGGCACCTCCTGAAAACCAGAGGAGTGAAAGAACTTTCACAAAATAGGAAAAAGCAGAATAGAATTTTTCCTGCTGGGGAAAATTGGAACATTTAAGTCTTCCATCTCCAGCTCAGTTTGAGACTTGAAATATAACTTCATTATAACTTTATGGCTGGAATAGCCTGTTAAGATCACCTAACTATTGCTTTATTTGTGTACTATTTAATGTTAGAGTTTACTGCTTGAAATGTCAATTCTTATTTACAAGATTTTTCTCCTTCAGTAAATCTCATCTACAATAACTGTGTCATTATCTGCTGTCTGTTGCCTTCAGTAAAACAATTCTTTTTCCTACCAACTACTCAAAATGTTTTATTATGAGAATAACCCAAAATGATGCAATTCATCAGTACAGAATTATAAACAAATCAACTTTAAGGAAACCACTTTTTAGAAAACAGATCCAAAGAATGGAAAATAAGTAAAGTCTGCCAAGAAATGCTGATTTTAAAACTAAATACTTCTTCATCACGCAAATGAGGGATGAATAAATGATAGGAAAGAAATGTTTCTCAATTACCTTATCCATACAATTTGACTTCAAAGAGACTTCATATTGTTATTTTTCAGACATCTGACAAATGATTCCTGGCTTGCAATGGCAGAAAATATCACAGCAATTATGTGAAATAGTTTTCCAGCAAAGAACCATTTCACAAGTAAAACACTGAACTCTGTTTCTATTGGGTTTTTATTATAGCTTCTCCAATTCTTCCTCAATCATTCATAACAGCTCAGCTTGATTAAACTTTGTGTTAGCTTTAGAAAGTTGTTTTAATGTCTGGATTTTGCCAGAGCCTTGGCCAGGCAGAATGACCTGAAAGAACCCCCAGTGATGATCAGTCCTGCTTCAATACCCTCATCTCAAAATTTAATTTTCAGGAAAAAAAACCCATAAAAATCTACTTGTGGCCTTTTTTTTTTTTTTTAATTCCCATGAGGAGTAGTGAAGGGAAAGAGAAATCTATTTACTGTACTTCCGGACAATCAAAAATTAGGCTTGAAGAAGCCGCTGGTTCCTAAACTTTATGGAGACAGATAACACTCAAAGTACATTGAAATCTTTCCCAGGAGATCCTTTCTTACTGAAAAATTCCTGGTGATTTGCAGTGGTCAAGACATGAAATAACCTCAGCTCACAGATTGTTGTTCAAAAGAAAATTTAAAATCTCCTGAAAGCTGGAAAACATTGTTTATACAGACTGATGGTTTCCAACTCCTCTTTTCCAAAGTTTTTCACACACATTCTGCCTCACAGCACCTCAGAATCACAGAATGAGCTAGGTTGGGAAGTGCAACCCTCCACAGTTTTGGGGGAGGTGATGCTACCTTCAGTTTGATCATCAGAGCTTCCACTGTTCCTTTACATTCCCAAAACATCTAAAGGCATAAAATTGGTTCTTGACGTTGTAAATCAAGCTGCTCATTCACATCACATTCACAGCTTTTCTTTAAATACCATCTGTCACTTCTTAAAGTGGGGTGGAAACTGCTGCCTGCTTCTTTGGAATACTGAAGGCCTGAATCTGCAGAGAAATGCTTGAGAACCAAATCATAAAGGTTATGATATTCAGAACAATAAAATTGCCTTATTTTTAAAATGATAACAGCAATCTAACTGTGGAGCTCAGAGTATTTTGAATTAATAAGCCTGACATCGTCAGTGATCACACTTTAACAAAAAACCTGGGAGTACAAGTTATTTGTGAGATTACTTTGCAACGTGCTCATCAAAATTTTAGCAAAGTTTTAGAAAAGTCTCTGTGCAAGTGAGTTACTTCTTCTGTTAAGCATAATGAGCTATAATTGAAATGATTTGTTTCTTCCATTACAATGATGAGTATCACAGAGACACACTGCAGATACAAGCAAACATTTAAATTCTCAATCAATAACGTGCTCTTACTTTACTGCATTTCATTAGCTAGACAGTCACCTGAGTTATTATAAAGCAAGAAATTACTGAGGCTTAAACCCAAAGCAACTTCAATTATCCCTTTATTCCAGGCATTTGAAGTACTTAGTTATTCTTTCAGATTCTATTAAGACATTATTGCTGCTTTATTGCCAGTAAAACAGTATGTTTTCAAGTCTTTCTAATAAGATGCCAAAGGAACATCTGTATGTGGAACAAGCTGTTTGGTGTTTCCCTGGGAGATTTGTCACTTGTGCTGAGTTCAACAAAACCCATACATCTGTGGATAGAAATGTGTGTGCCAGGACATGCACTACACTGTGCTGTATTCATATTTCATATTTATAAATATTCATTGGGGAAATTTCCATGCAAATGTCATTAGCGGTGGTCTGTCTTCTGTAAATAAGCTTTTAAAGTACAAATCACATTTGGAGGGTTATTACAGCTTCCAAAAGCAAAGGCATCTCAAGGATTCTTACTTCTCAAAGGCAAAACCACTTTTAAAGCCCACATTTATTGGTTAAAGCCTTGCTGCTGGGGGCAGCAGCTTCCAGCTCTGATGGAGTTCCACCAAAGGATCATTTTCCCAATCCACTTTTCTGTCTCTAGCCTAATACCTGCTTCTCCAAAATTCTGCAGGAAAGCAGCAAGAAATGGTGGATCTGGCCAGTGCATCCATCCTGAAATGATGGAGGGATTCCTTTCCCTGCTCTCCAAGTCAGACTCCAAGGACTAAGAGTGAATTTCTTCCTTAACGAAATGAAGACAGACAGAGGACAGAGGTGTGATATTGGCTATTGCAGAGATCCTGCTGCACGGTCAGGGATTTGCAGCATGACAAACACCATAGCTCCAGAAAGATATAAAGAATCATTCAGGACAGAAGTATTTCCATTTTTACAGGGAAAAAAAAGTGCAGAGTAGTAATAATTCACCATGGACAAATGCTGAAGGGTCAAAGCAGAGCACCACAATGCTCCCTTTCCCATGGACCTAAGGAAGTTTGATGTAAAAATGGTCCCAGTGTACTTGACTAAAAATCCTATTTATTCCATCTCAGAGGTTTGTAAAAGTTTACTCATGGTCATTAAACAGAAGCATTTAAGAGACAACAGGCAGAAAAAAGCATCTTGGGGGTTATGATGGAATGAGCCTTCCCTGCTCTCTGTAAAAAACTCAACCAAGTTGCCTCTTACAGAAATTAAAAAAATACAAGCACTTTGGGGATTTTCTATTTAAAAAAAAATAAATCTGAGTTTCCTAAAAATACATCAGCATCAAGAACAAAAACAAACAACAGAAACCCACACCAAAAATGCATATTTAAATCAGAGAGCCAGATTGGAAATGGAAGCAGAAATAAATCAATTTATCATTTTGGTACTCCTTCCCATTTAGCGTTTGTCTTGGTTGGATGCATTTAATGCTGGTATTAACCACAATTCAGAGCAGTCACCAGATTACACTGGGGATGAACTGCAGGAGCCAAGAGAAATTACATTTTCACAGCCACTTCAGCTGACAACAAACAAGCCCTCCTACAAGAAGATGGCAATCACATCCAAGAATTTCGGTCCCAGTAATATTTTGGTTTTACCTCAACCTTTCCACCCAGGCAGAAGCAGCAGAATCCAAAAATATGTAACAATAAATCAGCATAAATGTTCTGCATGTTCTGCTCACTTCGAGTCTGGCTGTTGTTGATGTTTTTATTTACATAATTAATTACCACAGAAGCTCTAACAAAATAATAAACACTCATTAATTCAAAATGTTTACCAAAAATCAATTATTTCAATCACACACAAGCTCTGAGTTGCTTTATAGTCACCATTCCTATAAAAGTGAAATGTCTGAGTCACTCTCACTTTGATTATAATTGGGAAATGAAAGTACTGTGACTCTTAGTCTAATTACTTATTTAAGTAATTGCCTTTAAGAACCATAATGATTCAGTGTCTGCTTATCTGAAAATATGTTTCCACGACGAAATCATTTGTGCTAACAGCCAGCAAACTTTGTGAATTATGAACATCTGTCCACAAAGGCACAAAAATAAGGGATGCATAATTGCCAATGCCAGTGGGGAAAAGGGAAACTCAGCAGGTTAAGAAAGCAGCACAAGGGGCTGTGGGTTCCAAAAGTGAGATTTTGGCTGGGAGTGCAGAGTTACACTTCAGTAATCTCTGTTTAACTCCACAGGATTGCAGATGTTCCTTGTTTGTCTCACCTCAAACAGTGATGGGTTGGTACAACTGCCAGCAACAGAAACATCTTGGAAGTACCCTGAGAGCGAGTGGTTCTGCTGTTCTGATGTTTGCCATCTTTGTTTCTGCCTAAATTGTTTAAAAAAAAGATATTTTTATTAATTTCTTCACTAGAACATACTGTGCTGACAGCTTAAAATAAACACAAGGCTGAGTAAAGCAGATGTCAATGGAACTACCAGGAAAGTTAAGACATTATATTAATAAAAGTTTTATTCCATTAACAATTCCAAGGCTATAGTCCTATCAAGTGTCCTGAATTACAATATTATTGCAATTCATCTGGCATCACCAGTTAGATCCTGCCAGCATGAGGCCTGTACATAGTTCAGGCTTAATTAATTCCTCCCAACTTCCATTGCCCTGAAGAACAGATCTAAAGAATAATCCCAGAGGACCAAAGTATTGTAATGCAAGAATTCACATGAGATTTTTGTAACTTTTACAGATACCAATTACACTAAAGAAAAGAAAAATTTATCTTGAATATCATATGGTAGCATGAAAAATTAGCTCTCTAAAATTTTTATGTAAGAAATGAAGATTTTTCTGAAGTGAAAAAATAACCTGAGATATCCAAGAGTTTTCAGTGCACGACCAAAACTACCTCCTGCACGTTGCATTTGGAATATTTATTTGGAGCACTGACTATGGAAAAGGAGTGTTTTATACTCCCTACTGTTATTGTTAAGGGGTTGTCCTGAAATGCCATCCATTCTTCCCAAATCCTAGAGAAGTTTTTAAAACAGGCAAACACAGCTTTGACTCACGTGAGGGGCAATATTCCAACAATACAGACCAAAGCATTATGAGTTACATATGTCCAAATTGGAGTATTAAATCCAGTGGTGGAGAAACAAGATCACGTTCTCCCATTTTAGTAAGAGAGTGAGACCTAGAGCACAGATAGACTGATTTTTGTAGCTTGGACCTAAATAAACACCCCTGTGTGCTTTCCTCTGAGGGAAGAAATTGCTAAACAGTAAGAAAAGGTGAATATCCATTGTCTTCTCACTGATCTCATTAAAACTCACATATGTATCCTCATAGATGGATGTGTTTGGGAATAAAGAACATTCTAAAGTGAGCAGAATGTGTAAATATTTGCAGAAAGCCTCCCATATTACAGCATTATTAAGCTATTGTATTATTTGATACAATTTTCCTGTCTTTCTTAATTTGGTATGAACTGTACTCGCTTCAGCTGGAAAAAAATTCCATAAATTTACAGGTGCAATTTTCCTATCTTGTATTCCCAGGAAAAGAAATACCCACTGAATAATTACACACATTCTACAGCTGTAAACCCCTAACAATACAATCTATTTTCACAGAAGATTTATTCTTCCTCTTTACAATTCCTGGTTTATTTTTTTTTTTTATTAGTTATGCCAGATAACCAATTGCCAAGGAATTCACAGCTTGTGAGATCTGTAAGAAATACATCTTAATTTCACTGTGGACTTTTCTTTCTTTCTCACCTGAACAGAGAAATATCAAATCACTGAAATTTATTATCCAGAAATCCTTGCCTATTGGAGACACTTTAGCAAAAAAGGCAAAAGAAATGAAATAAAACCCAACATTTATCAAACAGTTTTTCAAAGCCCTCATCAAAGTAAGGTCAGCACCAGTGAAGATGTATAGTCCACTTGCACATTTTCATATTTAGAAAGCTTGAAATCCATTTATATCAATAAGCAGAGCCACTTTCCATGAACTAAGAACTAACAGCCCATGACAGCAGTCAATCTCAGAATTTCTCATGTGGGAAGCATTCACAAGTCAATAGGATTCATTTCATAGAAATCCTGGGATTAAAATGGACTCACATTTTTCAGTATGCCTGTGTTTCAGAATAAGAATGGTCTCTAGTGCTTTTTTTTTCTGTTTGTAGTTAATTTTCATGTCAAATTTTGAGTTTACATAATAACAGCAGAGAGTGAGGAAGCACAATGTGTGACTGGGAAATGATTGCCACAAATGAGCTGCTTTTTGGAGGGCTGTGGAACACAGCCAGGCAGAACTGAGCTCTTTTAAACAGCCACGGACACAAGGAGGGCTGCAGGACACACAGAGAACCAATCCTGTTCTATAAAGCAGGGAAATTGCCCAGAATTTGGGGCTTCCCATCCCTGGAAGTGCCCAAGGCTAGGCTTGGAGCACCCTGGGCTGCTGGAACCTTAAGATCCCTCCAACCCCATCCATTCCATAATTTTAAATGATTTGAAAGTCCTCTGCTGCTCCAGTCAGGGTGGCAGCTCACCAAGACCCTGCCAGAGCTATTTCTTGTAATGAAAATTGTGGAGATTTGTCTCTCTGAGCACCCCAGCAAGGCTCAGAGCCTGGAAATGGGCAGGCTGCTGGTGTTTGTGAGACACCAGGGAGGGCAGATCCACTCAGACAGCAGCAGGGAGGAATTAATCAGACGTGGATGGATGTTTCTCTTTCAATTCCCATTTGCATTTTCAAATAATTTTTCACATGATGAGTCTACAGCCCCTGCAGATTAACATTTATACTTAATAGACTAAGAATTTAGGGCACCCCAAGGGCTGATAATTAAGGTTAATAAGGTCTATGGTCTGCTCCAGCCCATCTCCTTCGAGGTAAATAACTGTGTTCATACTGCTTTATATTACATTTTCCATCTCGCTGATAAAATTAGCATTTTATAATCCATGTAAACATCCCTTTAAAGCTGTGGGGTTTGCTAGCCATGCTGGTACTACTTCAAAATCCAGATTTCCACCAATGACAATTGGTTAAGGCTTGCAGACATGAATTTTAAATCATCTGTGTTATAACAAAATCTGGTTCTTGACACATTCTTTTGAACACAGATCCCTTCTCTGACATCTCCAAGTCTGCTCTAGATTTTCTATTAACCCTCCTGCTTTTCTGACTGTTCTAACTCCTAACTGATCAAACCACCTCGTACTCATTATTCTCAAAACCTGTTCAATGAAGTTCAGAATAGTTTTATTCACTTTATTTTGCATCAGTTTTTCCCATGAATCTCCCCTTGCAGCTCCAGCCTGCTGTGCAAGGGCTTTGGAAGAGATTATTCATGTGTGCATTTCCCTGCATAACACACTGCAACTTCTGAGGATTTGGAAATCTGCACAAGAAAAACCAAAAAAAAAGAGACAGCTGTAAAGCCTTGTCTTTACCATTTTTGTCACTCCAAGCAGAAATTCATTTGGCTTTTTGCTGTCCTGACATGCAGGTCTGGTTATTTTAGCTGTACTTCTGTCTGCCATCCCCTCAGCTTCCAAAGTATTATTTGGATTAATGAGAAAAACCATTCCATATCTATATCAATCTATATCTAATCTATATCTATATTATTTATATCTGTATCTATATCATCTATTTGTATCTATGGGGTGTTGCCTCCTTCCTCTACTTAGATTTTGAGTTAATCAAGTGGAAAGTACAGACAAATTATAATCTCTCTTTAGAAATAATCTGCCTGCAATCAAAACTCAGCTAATTTCAGGAGGTTACCCTATTATTGTAGTAAACTACAAATCTGTAAACTTGCAATCAACCATCAAGGCTGTGTTTGAAATGTATTTAAGCATTTGTGAAGGTTAAAGGGTAACTGTGTTGTACTTACCCAACCTGTCAGCATAATGAGCTGGCACCCCTTGAATATGCTTTGCGTTATGTTCTTCCCACTTTGCAGCTTTTAAAGCACAATGTTATTAGTGGATCTGTTAATCCAAGAAGAACACCAGAGCTAATTATGTGAAAAAATGTTAAATTGCTGGGAAAATAAGTTAGTGAAGTCAGCAGTTGTTCTTTTTCACACTCCCAGCACGTCCCAGGATGGCATCTCCAGGAGCAATTAGTTTTGTCAGGGCAGCTGAATTCAAACACGCCAAGATGTCATTTTTCCATATTAAGAAACATTATTAATAAAGAAATTATAGCAAGTTGTCATAGACTACCCAATTACTGGAATAACAATCCTTTTCTCCCAAAACTCAGGGGAAGGTCTTCACAACATTGAGGTGGCAGAAGAAAACACTGAAATTCTTTTCACTTTCTTCAAGTGAAAAGGAAGCCAAGAGCATTGCTGTTACTGCCTGGCTGTTTGGGAGTGTTGAGAACAGATAGGACAAGGATACAAAATTCATTTATATCCTGCAAAAACTGGTGTCAGATCAAACCCAGTTAGGGCTAAAGCTTTGTATTTTATCCTGCATGCAGAGACACATTAATAGTAATGACGAGGATGATGACAAAATATCTCCCACAATGTGACACAACCAAGCTTGGTATTGTAATTATAAAATATCAATGGTGTTTCTTGGCAAGGAATAATGTCTTGTCTCAGCAAACTTCCTGTAAGATTTCTCATGTTTGCTCTCTGTTTATGCAAAGTGAGGCTGTACAGAAGCTTAAATGCGACAAGATTCTCTTTATCTGCCCAGGTATTTCTTGCATACTGATCACTGTGACACCCATCTGTCAAACATTAATTGTCTCTAATCCTGTTGCCAAGCCCTTATTAGAATCACAATAATTAATGCAATTAAAAATGCAAGTAAAATAAAGAAATTTCTTATCAATTAAAAGTTGAAATACTAGAAGCAATCTTCAACAGATACTAACTAGAAAAAATTGCACTAATTAATAGCAGAGTCCAAAATTGTTTAAAATATTAAGCTGAGAGTTTCTTCATATCAAGAACTCCACAAAATTAGCTGTGACAATCATACTAAAGCCACTTTCTGATTTTTGTATAAACTGGTAACTTTAGGATGAAAATATCTGAGATGCTGAAAGGTTTCACTGAATTTGTCTAATATTTTGAGACAACAAATGATTTCCAACATTTACATATTTGAATAAATTTAAAGTAAGAAAAAAGTAAGAAGTATTCTGAGAGAAACACATTGGCTTTGAATAAAAACCAAAACTTCAGTCAGGTCAAATGAACATTCTTTGGCGTGGGAAGGTAAGGAATGGAGCTCCAGCTGTAAAACACGTCCTGTTGCTTTCCCACACTTTGAGGTTAATACAGCAGGAACAGGGGTCACCCTCATCCAATAATACAGATAAACCCTCAAAGTTTCCCACTGACTTCAGTGGCTGCTACCTACGAGACTGAAATTAATGCCACTTCCCCCTTCCCTGGGGTTAATTGTGTGTTTTGCTTCCATAACTTTCCCCTGCTCAGCGCTCCTTTCCAAAGTGTGAAAAATGAAAATTGCTCGCATGGTTCTCAGCAATGGATACCAGGGCAAGGACCAGCTCATTAACAACTCATTTATTGCCTTCAAAGTCTGGCCATAGTTCAACCAATATTGATCAAACACATGCAAAGAAGAAAAGGACCTATGAGATAACAATTCCACTGGATTCACAAAGAGTTTTATAATAAATACTTTTGAACTTCACTGGTGACTACTCCCGCGAATGAAATTTGTTATAAAAGTTTTTTCTGCTCAAAATGTCACTGTGACTATCATCAGGGATTCAAAGGAACCACATACTTAGAAGAATTAAAATATTTATGCCATATTTCTCTCTCTCATCTCTGATAACTTCTCAAAGTGCAAACTAATCTGATAGCACCATGAATATTTATATATTGCTCAGCGGGGAAAATTAATGTAAATTAAACAACTGATAAAGCTGGTAATATTTGTGGTACCCATATTTTTACAAATCATTCTTGTGTTAGCATGGACTCTAGGAAACATTCCTGTTGGGCTGTCACATGTCAGGGCTTGTTTGGCATCTGCAGGAGAGATCATTTCCTTGCAGGGAGCTGCAAATACAGACATTCCGTTCCAGCCTTTCAGAAATAGAAGTGGCAACCATGAAGAAATTATTCCATCTTTTGTATGCAGTAAAGCAGACAGTTCCTGTTAGGTTATATATCCTCTAAGATTACAGTTAGCACAGACAAAATTATTATCTAAAGCAATGGAAGTAAGAAAATAGATCTTCTGGAATGGATATTAAAAATAGAGGTGTTAAACCAGATTCAAAACACCATGAAAACCAGCTTTTAAGAAACCCAAAGAAAAGCCACACCTTCAAAATGATTTATCAAATTTTTAACAAGATCTGCATTTTAATCACTTTTGGGAACACTTGACTTTGCTGTGCACTAAAGAACTGCTGATAATTTCAGTCAAAGAATGTGTCACTGAAGAGGAAAGCCAAGAATGCAGCCTGAATTTGTGTTAGACAACAGCAAGATGATATTTTGGACAGGATTAGCTCGACCTCTTTAGGCTCCTAGCAGCCAACATCCCAAACATTCACTTGCTCATTGTGTCCCACTCTGGAGTACTCTGAACCACTCAGATGTCATCCCTGTTTCTACAAAATACTTTCAGGAGGAAACAAGATAAATCTTCACTTATTATAAAAGTTTATTTAATTGATAGAGGAGGAGAATTTGTTTCTTAGCATTCACTAATTTTTTTTTCTTGTCCTCCTCATTAAGGGTTCTTAACCAGGGCAATGGGCAATTCCTATCTTCTCCATGAAACCCATAATTTTTGAAACCCATGATGTTTTGCACAAACCCAAGTACCACCCATGCAAGTAGACTCCAAAAGCCAAACATTAGTCCAGATAAAACTGTTCTCTGAGCCCTTCACCCCAAGGAATGAAATGTGAACACTCATCTAACATTCACTTGGAGTTCTGCAGAAGAATGGATAGCTATAAAAACTTGGGAATTTAAATTCCTTTGGGTTTTGGGAGACTCAAACAACAAACTGCAGGGATCCTAGACTGGTATTTGAAAATATCCTTTACACCAAGCTCTTACCTGTACAATTATCTCCCAGCATGTCCAAAGCACCTTATGTAGTGTAGAACTGATTGGCTGCTTCTGAACTTGCTGCCCTTGGAGGATGGAAAGATCTAGAAGGAGAGTAAAATTCTGCCAAATTGATGTGTCCATGTTTTGCAACACAGTGTAAAATACACAGGAAAATGCTGTATCAAGTCTTTCTCCAAAACACACCCTACAAGGTTGCTGTAAAGGTAATTCTGACACTGAATACTGAAAACAGGAAACATCATAAAATCCAAAATACAGCAAAGCAAAAGCACAATTGAATCTGAATAGTATAACAATAGAGGCTGGGAGAACTAATCTTGGCTTGGAGATATGACTAATAGCATTTATTTCCATGCTTGGCAGTGCTAAAACCAGGGAGGAAAGGCATAAAATTCAATTAATATCCGTCCTGTCTATGGTCTGTCTACCTTAATTTGCACTAGACACTAAAAGTGTGGGACACTTCAACTCTTCAGCATAAACTCTGCATTTAATCTGGAACAACAGGAAAACAAAACTGCCCAGCCTGCTCCAGGCCGAGCCCTGCCCTTGCCTTGCACTGCTCACCTGCCTCCTGAGTGAGTTTCCCAATGAAAATTGTCTAAACCAAAACTGGGAGAGCCCAGCAACAGCACTCCCTTCCCATCACCTCCTCTGTAAATGACTTTACACAAAGGAAGCCAAACAAATTTACTGCTGAATTTTGCCAATTTTCTTATAAAATATAAAGCACTCAAGTCCTTAATCACTGGAGAAACTCTCCAGGAATGTTTTAATGATGAAGCACCTGAATTTGTCCGTAGTCCCGTGGTGATTTCTCCTAAAATGCGTGGAACACACAAGGCTCAGAGCGTGAAATGGAGAAATATGGAGTGTGTGGCCATAACAGACATGTCTGAAATGGTTTTGAAACACTAAACAAAGAAAAGTCACAGATTAATTTCTTCATAATGTTGTAAAATCACCCCGGTGGAATTAGAATTGTAAGAAAAAAGAAATTGCATTACGCTGTACTTAAAATTCTCCAGTATGAGATATTTAAACAAAGTACTTATTAAGACAGAGTAGTAGCTAAACAGATCATTCACCACAGCATTGAATAAACTTTTAATAACTTCTTAAATGCATGCTTTGAGACATAATAAAATTACTTCCTGGCATTAGAGACTTACCTGACGTATAGATAATCAATAGCTGCCTATTCCACAAAGACAGACACAAAGTTACAGTTCATTTAGACTTAGCCTTCTTGCTCCGCCCTATGAATTACCAGATTTACTCCAGCAAGATCCACTGAATAAAAAAAGTATTTATCTGCAATGCTGGAGGAGTGCATTTCTGAATAACTACATGGAAATGGAGGCAGGCTGGATAGCAAATGCCTTGCTAAGCCTCTTCCATCTCCAATTCCCAGCTCCCTCTGAGCAGGCACTTATCCTTGCTGAATTCTAGGGAGATCAGCACTGATCTACATGAAATCCATAAATTAATATTAAAGAGTGGCTCTGTTGCACAATATCTGCTAGTACATTAAAAACTCCTACAACTCTCAAAAACTTTCTGCTGTTGCCACAAATCTGGTCTGAGGGACTGGCTGAACTAGAAATAAGGGTTTGTATTTGAGAGCCAATTGTCAGTGATGGCACAAAGAACAAAGGCCAAAACTAATATTGAAAGGTCAAAGAAAACATAATAGAAACCAATTCTTTGAAAGGCTCACTCAGAGTGTAACAATTAGGAAGAGAAAAACTCCCTGAGCCACTACCTGCTAAGGTAGAAAATGTGCTTTCAAAAACCCTGACAAAAAGAGCTGGTAAAGACTGAAGGCTGGAGCAGCAGGAGGTGACTCCAGCCAGTGATTAGGACCAAGATCTGCAATTTAACCTGTGCCCAACCCAGAGTCTGTCTGATGCAGCAATGGAAATGTCCCACACACCCTCCTGGTGGATCCCCTCTCTGCTGGATGTGCCAGGGACTGCTTCCACAGGAGGAGCCCAAAGAAGAGCCATCAGTGTCAGAAAGAAGCTCCCACTCTGTCCGGCTGTGCAGCTCCAGCAGCACACCCTGCTCCAGGCCCCGGCCTCTCCCACTGGCAGCAAACAAGGGTTTGTGCCATTACAGAAAGCACCAGAACTGGGAAAGCAGCAGGTGTGGAACTGCCCAGCTGGCAGCACAGAACACAGCTACAAAATAGGGTTTCTAAAGGAGTAAGTTACATTAACTTAAACTCAAATTTTACATGCATAAAACATTGGATGTGTTAATTTTTTTCTTCACTATAAACAAACATGAATCTATTTTTCTCCTATTTTTAATGCAAACAGAATTAGCCATGCCATGGCAGAATAGGGAGGCTTCAGCTGAGGCTGAAATTCCCCAAACAAAGGGCTGAGTAAATATACTGTGAACTTGCTTAGTCTTTTAGCAAGGACTTTATCTTCTTTTTTTTTTTTTTTAAACTTTCTCCCTATCGGAACAGACTTAGCAGAGTTTAAAAGAAGAAATTGGAGCTGAACTGACTTTATCAGAAATAACATCCCGATTTAGCAGGCCAGGGTTCCTCTCAGACTGATGTCAAAATGTCAGATGATGTAAGTAGCCCACACTAAATGTATCAGTGGTTTAATAACAAGAAAATTGACTTCACTGCCGAGCTTGAGTCCAAGAGCCCTCAGTCTCAATGCTTGGAGAACAGCTTTTTGCTTTTTAAAGGTCATCTGATTTATCCTGCCAGGCTAAAACAAGAAGGTGAGAAGTTGTATAAAGGAAACACCACAGCCTGCTCTGAGATTAAGGAAGCAAAACAATGACAAAAACCAAGCCAGCCCTGAGTCTCATTTCTTGCTGTCCCGTGCTGGACACTGTTCTGCACTTGCAGCTGGAATGCCTGCACTCCCATCAGCTGCAGAGGATGGACATTTGGACTCCTGTGAGTTATTTCCCAGAGCTGATAATGCTCTGTAGGGGTTCTCCTCTCCCTGTTCACATCCAGAACGCAGCAATGCAGAAGCTGCTGCTGAAGGGAAACTCAAGATGAGATCTCTGTGCACTGGCAAAGTAAAATACGGCAGAGCAGGATTTGTTCAGTTTTTTTCCTGTGTGCTGGATCCATGGCTGGTAACTCCTCCAGGTCCTGTGGCAGGTTCTGCACACCATCCCCAGCTCCAGGGGAGATGCTGCTGTTGCAGACACAGAGCTTGAGCTGTGGGCACCTGATGCACAGCACAACAAATATGGGAAATGCTCAAAACGAAACACAGGGCTGGACCCTGATTATTCCTAATAAATAAACACCTCTCAGCAGAAATGTTATGACCAGTGAAAGAATCAGGCAAGAAAAGAAAGCAGAGCCTGTGCTGTAATCCTGCTCCAGTATCTCTGCACACCCCAGCTGTATTATTATTCTGGGATGGATGCCTTTCTTTAATTTGTTTACTCAATGTTTATTTTTTGGCTGCCTGTCAATGAAGCTTGACGTGTCCTTGAATTATTTCTTTTAAATTGCCTTTTTTTTTTTTTTTGTATACACAAAGTTCAGTGCTACCTATCTATGAGCTAAGCAATGCTTTCAATCAGTTTTCAAAAGTGGAAAAGAGCATTCCAGCATTCTCACTTTCCAGCAAAATACACTGATTCAGTTTCATTTTTATCTGGAGTCTTCCTGCTGTGAATTGCCCAAGTGTGTACACCGGGTTTTCTGTCACAGTTCTGATATGAAAACCCTGATAACTTACAGAACGGTTGCTGCTGATATTTTGTATTAAGGAACAAAAATAGAACCAGACCTCAACAACACATAACAATACATAACACCATCAAGCCTTGCATTAAAATCAGCTTCTCCTGACGTGAGAAAATAAGGAATCCTTCTGCTTTTAAAAGCTACATCCTTTTGCAGAGGTCAGATGAGAAGTCTGATAGAACACCGAAAGCAGCAGGTGGAGGCCTGGGGAAGCAGCTCCTTGCTGGGTGTAGAGCTCGTGCTGCTGCAATAACCTCAGTGCTCCTTGGACCAACGGGTTTAGTGCTCCCCTTTGGAAAACAGACAGAATACAGTCACCAATTCCAAATATCACTTCTGTAATGTCCTCTAAACTTTGCTCGTTGCAGCAATCACCTTCCCCAGTATAATTTATTAAATAGTGCCATCCAGTGGGAAGTGACTCTCAGCACAAGGAATCTCTAAGAAAACCCACATTAACTCTAAATTCTTTCCATTGATGCAACCGCAGAGAGCATTTCCACAGTTTATCTTCTAAATAAGCAAAATTTGATAATAATCCTAACTTCCTGATGGTATTTTGGCATGCTTTATGTGAGATACAGAGGCAATAAAAAAGCAGGAATTCTCTTTGTGAAAGGACACTTTTAGGGGCATGGTGAGGTAGCAGTAACAACCCCAAATCCTCTTAAATCCCCAACAGCATCCAAGTACATGACAAGAGATGTTAAATTTTACTCCCAGAAGTTCTGAGTGTTCAGAGGGATAGGAAAACATTGACAAGGAGTGACCTGACTATTGATTTTAATTCTACCAATTCACGTGTAACTGAATTGCCAGGAAAAAGTGTCAGGATCCTGAAACAATTGTTTAACTCCCAAAGCACCTTTGTATTGTTTTCTGTTGATGGAACACAAATACTGAGCACGCACACAAATTAAACCAAGAAGCATTTAGAGGGAGACAAAAATCTGCTTCCCACTCACCTGTTGCTATTGTGTGTTTATAGACTGCAGGATTTGGTGCCAAAAGTAAAATTACAGAAGTAAATTTCTGTGCAATTGGAAGAGCACTGAAGAGCCATCAGCAACCTGAGAGCTCATTCCTCTCCCCTGCTTTGTATTTCTCCACCAATTGCCAGCATGAATCACAGCTCTCTCCAGATAATGAAGTCTTAGAAATTTCATGATCTGGTGTAGCAATATAAATCTATATGGCCACCCCATTAGGAACACCTCCCAGGGAACAAAATGTGCTTTCTGGAAGTCATTCAATGCAAATAGTTCTGCTTTTTTTCCTTTTTCTTGGCATTTCACTAAAGAAACTGGAAGATGATAAATGTCATGTGGTAGCAAAAACC